TATTGAATGATGCAATCCTTTCCAATGGAGTATCTTTCGGTATCAAACGTTTCAATTGACGCAACTTTTGCAGGTTCGTATACGGTTTTTTTTTATTAGGTTCACTTTTCACAGAACTTGATATTTAAACTTGCGACTTTGAAATGCGAGGAATGGATTCTAACCACTACGCCGCAGTCACCTACAGCATATTGATGAACTGCTTGGCCTGAGTTGAAACATAGGGTTTTTGATCTAATTTCCGTCCTACTAAGCACAACCTGCGCTTTACCTCTCTTTTCTGAACGAGTTTAAAAAAGAAATGGAATATTTTCAAGGATGACTTCTAAATATATTCACCTTTCCATACGTACCGTTGGATTTGATAAAGAGTCACAAATGGTTGAGATATTGTTTAAAATCTAAAACTGCTTCTTGATTCTAAATTCGTTCTACGAGTTTCAATTCCGTCCTACGGATGAACGTAGAAAAAGGGGATTCGCTAGGAGCGTTTCTTTTGTTTTGAGAACAATGAGTGTAAATATTCACACAATGCGCTCGAACAGGCTTTATGATGCAGCTTATGAACTAACGCATCTGAACAAACCTATTATTGATCTTTTCTGATCGATAGAACGGGAATGGGCGATTACGACGAAGTAGCGCTCTACACTACAGCAATATACACACATATTGCTACCAATTCCACACAGTCGTAGCGACGGTTAGTTTTCACTGTAAATCCTGTGTATGAGTGCTCATTGCAAGACACCCTATATTACATGATATAAGCCATAGAGATTGCTGACGTTTATCGTACGCACACTACGTCACGTATACGTATACGCAAAATGTTTTCATCGGAAAAAAAACTCCATAGCGGAAAATTTTCCCGATGAAAACAAATCACTGACACAATCATACTTTAGGAATCTCTATAGTCTGTACGGGGTATTACCGAACACAGACTATCATCGTATGGGTCGAAGGTCTCTCACAAATTGACAGTCGCGCATGTATAACTGTTTGCTTCTGCTCTCTACTTCTGAGTATTTGAAGTCGGAAATTTCAATGTACTACACCTAGTGGTGCCACATTTTTTCGAAGTTCAATCTGTATTTTCATCGCAAAAAATCTTTTTAATCTGTATCTGGCTGACAAAAAATCTGTGTAGACAAAGACAAATTTTTTTCCGACTGAAAATTTCCTTAATGAAGTAACTATCACAATTCCCTAGAATTGGATTTATTTATGTCTCAGATTACGCAAACCTTTATCTGGACATTGGACATAACACAGAACTTTTACAGGAAGTTTTGTCGAATAGCATGCAATATTCTTTATTTCTATAATTACGTTTTTAAATATAAACATATCCAGTTGATTATTCGACTCACAAACTGTAATCAACCACTTTGAGGGTTTTCTAAAATGGCTTGTTTACCGAGTTGACAAAATATATTTAATTAGCTTCGTATCTGAAGGGGGAATAGAAAGCGAAACTAATATTCCTTCCAACGAGAAATCAGAACATCTGAACATCAGAAGTCCATTCGAAAGATTCCAAGTCCATCTGAAGCTAAAACAATAATTATTTACTTAGTGAAAAATACGATTTGAGTTTGATGCTAAGATTGAATTCAAGCTGCTCAAAAGGAAGAAACGATTATTTATCGGAATTAATAAATAAAAAAAAATGCAAAATACATTCCCTTTATTTGAAAAAATCTGAAAAATCTGTATATTTTTCAAAAATCTGTAATCTGTATATACAGATATCTGTATCAAAATATTGAAAAAAATCTGTATGATCACAGATAAATCTGTATATCTGGCATCACTGACTACACCCCACCACGGATCGAACGTGTATATTTAGACTTATCGGTGAACTGGGACCATTCTTATCGGTGAACTGGGACGTTGATAAGACTCAAATCCACTTCATAGGAAAACACACAAGATACGGACACATTATTTACATTTCATTCATTACAAACGAAATTATCGTCTAATAAATTTTCTTCAACTTGAGTGATGGAGACCTTTGTAGAAATTTCCAATTTTCTTTTTGGCTCCGTGAACCAATGTAAATGCAAACAAATAATAAATGGTAATTCGAGAAGTAGGCTGTATTTATCGAAAAATTTAAGGAAAAAAAAGGATGGACTTTGGATGTTAGGGCCTGTTCATAAACTACGTAGACAGTTTTTTTGGGATTCTTGACCCCCCCCCCCTCCCCCTGCGTAGACAATTGTCCATACACAAATTTTAAAATTTGTATGGGTCGTGGATAATTGTCTACGTAGTTTATGGACAGCCCCTTAATATAATTTCATATATAGAGGTGCCAGATATGTTTTACAGTCATTTGTGTGTTATTCGCCAACATAATATCATCGAATATGTCTTTCAAGCAATTTTTTTTCTCAAATTTGAAAGTTTTGGTGCGGGTAAAAAACTTCTGTTTTTACTTATAATTGTGGTTTGTTTAAAATTTATTTCCCGGAAAAAGTGATCGTCAAAGTCCATGTCTTTTTCGGGTTATTGTTGGGGGGGGGGGGGGGAGGAGGTTGTTGTGAAGGGGGAGGGGGTTTACATACATTCCTCATTGTGGTCACGCCGTGATCCACCTTTAGCCACTGACATGGTCCTGCTTGCTGCATGACCAAGTGCCACGCCGTTCGGAGCGAAAATGAGCAAAAGCACGACAGCAGCGCTGTTTTTTATCTTTTCAGGTTCAAGCAGAACGATGTGCAACCGAACCTGATAGGATTTCCCACCGTTTTTTATGAATGGGGCGGAGCAAAAAATTTCTTTCGTGCAGAATATGTAAAAAAGGATGGACTTTGGATGTTAATATAATTGCATATATAGAGGTACCGGATATGTTTTACAGTCAGTTGTTGGTAATTCATCGAGTGTATGTCTCCTGTTAAGCAATTTATTTTTGAAAATGTTGGCTCTGCATGTTAAAAAATAATTGTTTATACATAATTGTGGTTTGCTTAAAATTTATTTCCCGGAAAAAAATGATCGTCAAAGTCCACGTCTTTTTCGGGTTATGTTGAGGGGGGAGGGAGAGACGTTGTTAAAGGGAAAGGGGTTTTACATGCATGTTTTTTCAAGTCTCATTCCTCATTGTGGTGGACACGCCGTGATCCACTGCAGGATCTAGTGCCACGCCGTCCGAAGCGGTAATGAGCAGAGGCAGTAGTATTAGTAAAATTATGTTTATTTCCGTTGATTATGGTAGTACATTGATTTATAATTTTAATTGATTAGCCTACTTGGCTCTTCATCTTTGTTTCATTTGTTATTCTAATTTAATATTTGCGTTTTTCAACTAGTTTACCGAATATCCCTTTGGGGATGTGTTTTATTTGAATTGAAAAAAGTGATAACCTACCTAACTACGAGCATAACTTAACCTAACGTGCTAGATCACGTATGATCTGATGATTTGATCTCAGACAGGTGTCTCTGAACCTTTCCAGGATGAATACTCTCCGTTCTTCTAATGTTTGAATTCCAGCCAGGAAGTGGATCTCAGAATTTCTAGTCCGCGGGGGACTATTTAGGACCATCATAAGGATCTTGTTCTGGATCCTTTGGAGTTTAAGGTGATGGCATTTTGCGCAACTCTCCCAGATTGGCATACCGTACTCGATTACAGGAAAGATGATTTGTTTGTAGACAACAAGCTTATTTTTCAGGGACAGGGTTGACTTGCTGTTGATAAGTGGATACAACGATCTTATCAAGATGTTGCACTTGTTTTTTGTTTTGTCAACGTGCTCCCTGAAAAGAAGCTTGCTGTCTAGTGTTAGCCCGAGGTACACGACCTCTTTGGACCATTCCACCACTGTGCCGTTCAGGCAGATCTTGTTATTCTCCGACGGAACCTGGGTGTTTGCCGCGTTGATACGGATCTTCCAGCTGTTGAAATATTCAGACAAGACGTCCAGGCCTCTCTGAAGTTTGGCAGTCAGCGCTCCGATGACCCTACCCTTGTAGACGATGGATATGTCATCTGCGAACAGAGACAACGTTCCGTTTCCCATACATTCTCTCCATATCTCGATGTTCTATATCTCTACATATTATGTGACCACTATTTTCTTTCTGTCGATGATTATTTCGGTCCCTTCAAATGGTCTAGCAGGGTTTTCTTGTACTATATCTAAATCTATCCATATCTCGATGGTCCCTTCAATATCGAGATACGGAGAGTTGACTGTATTAGCTTAAAACTTAAAATGCACACAATGAAAATTCAAATATAGCCTAAAATATACCATTTGAAACGCTAAAATTAATAAGAAACAACCAAAATTTTTCTAAAAAGAATGCGAAAATTTTAGAAAGGTCAATTACACTCCACAAAAAACACACCTTCAAAACACCACAATGAAGAAATACTCGATGCCCTCAGGAATCCACCTTCCTCAATTTAGAAAACTTGAATGCCATGTCCTGTAGATTTTTGAATGACTTGGTACTGGACATTTTCTTAATCACCTCATCTCATCTGACAGTGTATTTCAAACATTGAACACCATTTCTTCTCTGGACTGTATACAATTTCATTCGTTCGCATGCACAAGCACGACATTCGGTTTTTGTGAAGGGAGACCTCCGCGCCCCTTCCGGTTCAATTATAATTTATGCTGCACGTACGTACCAATCAACCAGCGTGCGATCTGTTGTATTTGTCGTTGTTGTTATGATCGTCAATTGTTGGATGGTAGGGGACGACGACGGGTGGTGGTGGGTTGGAGCTTTTTTCGAACACCACTCACAGACCTGGGCTGCTGGCGCGACAGTTTCGAAACAAAAATCGGAAAATCCATAACAGTCTACCAACTACAGTCAGTGTGTCTTGGATTTACTTTCCTCGGACTAGGATTGATGGATGGCATGCACGGCAGGGAGAGTCAAGCAGGTTGCTCAGGAAAACGATTCAAAACAAGAGAGGGATAGGATTTTTGGGAGAGCCTAGTGGTAGGCTGCAAATAGCAGGGCACTCTGGTGTGTATGGTAGCATCAGTTTTCATTCAGATCACAATCATCGTCACCAGGAATCGGACGAAAAAATTTGTATACAACAGCGCGTAGTTATAAGAGGTGTTCAGGTGCCTAATTTAGAGAAGGAGATGTGAGCTATATTTTGACGAAGCCAAGGAAAAACCTTCGCCTAGCCAAGAATAGTTGATATTTAGTGTTGGCCGCCAGCTATCGAAATGCTAGAGCTGACAGTTTTGTGTCAAAAGTAAAGAAAAATGCGCAGATTATTAGCTAGAAGTCTTGGCCATTCCTTCACTTCATCAGCCCATGATTTGTACACACAGTAGTGCTTTTGCCAGCAAAATATCGATTTATGTTCGGTGGGGAAAATTTCCTACGGTCGGCAGGCAGGCTGGCAGGAGCGATGCTACGCGTAGTAGTGCCTGCTTGCTACTCGCCAGAGGGGCGCTCCGCTCAGTACAGTGGTTACTGGTTCTCTAGTGTGTAGAGAGATTATTTTCATTTTTTCTGGATGCGAAATATTAAGGAAAATTGGATGTTTGCTGAAAAGTTCAGTACAAGTGGTCGTTGCTAGATTTGAGAAGGAATAGTGCAGTACTGGTGCCAACGAATTGGGTCATGGCACGGGCGTTGACTTATAATTTGCACATAAATATTTTAAAGTCTTCGATTGCGACGGGATTGTGTTTTGGAGACAGAAAAAAAGTGTGTGAGTGTGTGAATTGAGGAGAAGAAAATTCGATACGCTTGCCGCAGCAAAGGCTTGCATGTGTCCACCAGCATTTGGCAGTAATAAATGACTCGGGAATTCATGTCAAGAGTGTTCGCCGCCGTTTCATTTGCATTCCAGTGCTCTGACGCAAGTATTTTTTTTTCAGGAAAGGATGTGATGGAATTTCAATTAGACATTTCTGCCATTTTCATGCACGGTCGTCAATTGAAAGCGCTTCGTTTTAGCATTGTAATGATTAGATACTAGTGTAGAAATAATTTATAAAAAGTGTCGCAAACGCAAAAGCCACACAATGTTTAGCTGTCTTTGGCAATTGTGGGATTGGTAAGCTGCCGCAAACACAGTAGCGCATACGTTGAATTCAAATAGCTCGTCTTGTGGTGAATACTAATTGGGAAACTTTCTCTGCTTCGTGGTATTTTCTTGCAGGATTGATCCACCCACGTTCACTACCATGGAGAGCAAAAAGCTTCAACAGCTACAGCAGGCCAACTCACATCTTGCACCGATTCCACAAACGAAACCTCCAGCATTTCAGCAACAAAACAACGACTATCGGCCTACAAGGTCACCAGTATTCCAAAATCATCCGCAGTATCAGAGCTTTGCATCGAACTTTGCACAGATCAACTACCCACACCAAATACGACCCCAACAACAGCAGCAGCAGCAACAAAAACAGCAACAACAGCAGCAACAGCAGCAACAACATCAACAACAACAACAACAGCAACATCTCAGCGCACACAGTAGTCCCAAATCGAATAGCAACAGCCTCTATCTTAGCGAATACTCCAGCTCGAGTCATGTCGGACAGCAACAGCAGCAGCACCATCACACGATCGGAAGTCATTACCATTTCGATCAAATCTATCAAACTAGTTCCCCTTCTAGTGGCAGTGGCGAGCGGGAACGCTTGTATCAAACGGCTCCAAGGCCAACACAACATACTCATGCGAATCAACCGCAGCAGCAACCTCTCACCAAACTCGAACTGCAGTTCCAACAACTGCAGCGGGAAAAAATTCAAGCACAAATTAAAACCGCTACCGAAGCTCTCGCTCATCAACAGCAAACGTTCGCTCTACGACAACAGTTGAACCCTCCGGTTCCTAACTACCATCTGAAACAGAATCTTCTTCAGAATCTCTCCCAACAACATCAGCAACAAATCCAGCAACAGAATCACCAAAATCGGAATGCACCTCCTTCTAGCCTGAATCTCACGAGTCACTTTCAGCCGGCCCAAGGTCCGATGAAACTCGCTAATCCGAATATTCACGACTATGGTGCTACTGCTGCCACAAATCATCACGTAATCAATGAAGCCTTCTATCAGGCTACCCAACAGAAGCACATGCATCCTAAAACTCCAAACAATCTTCAATCGCCGGCTCCCAACCAGATCATCATTCAGCAAAACATTCCTGGACAGGTGGTAAACCAGGCTTGCCAGACACAAATCAGCGGTGTAAAAAATCAATCTCAAACCCAGAAGTCTCCCAACTCAGATTCCCTATCTTCGCCTTCACACGACGGTTTAGAACGACGGAAAAGTGGACCCGTGCATACGTTGAAATCACCCGTCACCAAACGACCTCCAAATGCACTGGTCACCATGTCCGGTTGGCTGTACAAACAGGGCTCCGATGGTCTGAAGGTCTGGCGGAGGCGTTGGTTCGTGCTTGCCGAGTACATTCTGTACTACTACAAGAGTCAGGAAGAGGAAAAACTTTTGGGAACGGTCCTACTGCCGTCGTATAAAATATCAGCGTGCTTCCCGGAGGACAAGGTATATCGGAAGTTCGCGTTCAAGTGTGAACACACCAATATGCGAACATTTATTTTTGCTGCCGAAACGGCCGAACTAATGACGTCCTGGGTCCGTATGTTAACTCTAGCTACCATGATGCAAGGCAGCAGCGAGTCAGAAACTAGTCCTCCATCGAACAATGCTCGTAGTGGAGATAATAGCGACTCCGGAATACAAACCTATCAATCGCAGGTGTGTAAAACGGGTGGAATGCAAGCTCCGGTAACTCCGGTGTCCGACAACGGCGGTGGTTCTCAACCACTGTATGCGAATGCTCCACCAAAGCCAAGACGAGCAACCGATGGAGGATATTCGTCACCTAGTCCGGAACATTTACCAGATCGATACGACCACGATCCGCAGCAGCAGCAGCTACGACCGAACGATCCAATCTACGGAGTCAAGACCCCAGACGTAATGAACAATCCCAACCTCGTACAAACACAATCACCTCTCATCAAGCGAGGATTTAACGATCAGTTAGCGTACGATCCGAATGCATATCCACCACCAAATGCACCACAACCAAGCCATAACTACAACGATGCCGTGTACGGAAACGCAAAGCGTATCGAACGAGACTTGTATATCCAGAAGCTGATCCAACAACAACAACAGCAACAGCAACAACTCCAGCAACTGCAGCAACAACAACAACAGCAGCAACAAAAGCAGCAATTGGCAGTGCAACAAACTCCGCAGCAACAGCGTGCTTTCACCAATCCATTCATGTACCCGAATGCCGATCGAAGGACGCCGGATACTTACGGTCCACCTCGTGCCGCCTTGGAGAAGCACATGTCCGATTACGAGGATATCTACAATCTAACCATGCTCTCTAAGGCACTTCCGCCCAACATAGGTGACGAAGCAACATCAGCAGCAGCAGCAGCAGCGACGTCTGCAGCTTATCGTCGTCCGATGAGCCCACTGCGGTACGAATCAAACAGTCAAAACCCAGCGATGCCTCTGAGATACACTCCCAACTACCTGGAGGTAAGTCCCTGTTAACCGCCCCCTCCCTACTCGTTGTCACTAACCATTGATCACATTTACTCGATTACTCACAACTAGAACTCACCCGCACAGCAACAGCACATACAAATGCGAGCTCGACCTGTTCAATCGACCATACCGAGACCGCACTCGGCCGATTTTCTAGACTATGAAGCCCGCAATCCAATCAAAACCCAACAGAAAGACGAACCGGCTAGGGCACCGCGACCCAAATCTAGTCTGGATATCAACCGCACACCCGATAATTACTACTATTCCGAGGCAAGCTATGCGGAGAAAATGCGCATGCAAAGTGCATCCTATCTGCAACGGGCGGCCAATCTGCCAGGTGGACTGTCTGGAAAAGTACGAGGCGATGAGACGCAAGGTAAGTAGCACCCTGTCAGGGTAATAAACATAAACAACCTGACAACATTTTCTCCTGTCCCATCCACAGGAGTCATCAATTCTAGTACAGTACCACGAGACGGTTACTATGCCGGTCGGATTGACTATGGAGACGAACTACCACATGGGTCAGCTAGTGTTCCTCGAACGCAGAGAATGACCATGAACAATCTAAAGAAATACCCTTCGCAGCAGGAACAATTCCTCCGGTCGGCAAGTGCACGTCTACCTCGTAAAGAAGAGGACCCATCCGCACGGGATGGTGAACGGAAACGGGAAGAATCGATGAAACGTCTACTGGAGTGGAAGCAACGTATGCTTCAGTCTCCTTTGACGCGCAAGATTTCCCAACAACAGCACCAGCAACATCAGCTAGCCCTTGGCTCACCGGGTTCGACCGGGGGAAATCCATTCCTAGCCAAGTCACCGGGACACATGGGAATGGAGGCAGATATGTACCTAGAACAAGAAAAGCTCCTTTTACAACAACAACAACAACAACAACAGCAGCAGCAGCAACAACAGTTACAACAGCAACACCAACGGATGGATAGCAAAACTAACCTCGAGTACAATAGCTATTCATCCGATGATGAAGGTAAGTTTGCCAGCTTTCTATTCCTATCTGTTGTAGACCATTTCTTTTCTAGTCGCATTTAGTTAGAACTGACCATTAACCAAGTTTTAATTGTAGTGATTCCTATTCTTCCAGTGTACATTCGTACTAATCGCAATAACCTCTTGACTTCACAGTGCTCCACAAAGCTAAATTCTATCCTCGCTCCGATTTGGACACAGTTTCCGCTCTATGAGTAACACACTCCGCTTTAGCATTGTAGCTTTCCTTCCTTTGTAGCTAATTTACTACATGACAAATTCTGGATTTGCTTTGAAAAGCTGTTGTTCGTTATGTTGTTTGAAATTTTAGTTTGCTATTCTTTTCATCGCATTCTGTTGTCAATATTTTAGTAATCCCTTTCTCCCTCTCTGATACCGATGGACTGGCGAATGGATTAACAATAATGACGACCTTCCTGCCGCGTACAACATGTCGTTCAGCACAACCAAACATATGCACACATAATACAAAATCAATCATAACAGCATTGCTGGCACGGACTAAACACGAGACTACAGCTCCAAAAAGCAAATCCTGAATCCCGAATCTAATCGAGACGAACGAGTCATACCTTTTTTTACACCAAAATCAAAATTCTACTCACCTTCGGCTGTTTTCTTCCACGTAGATCTGAATTTTACTGGTTGGGGGTACCTCTTTCCGTATTCTGTCTATCAAAATCAAAACCAGCTGTTGCCAAATAACGTTTAGTAAACCACACCACGTATGTAGTTGCCAACTGTTTCTTCCAGCCAACAAACAAAAATCACAAAACCACGCACAACCAATATCTTATGCTCTGTATTATCTGTATTATATTACCAACCCCTAGATGGAACAGAAATTACGCCGGCAGGAAGGTCATCCCCAAATGTTTCCGCTTCCGCGAGTGCAGAGCTAGAAACTAGCCAAACTGTACCCGCAGCTGAGGCGTCCGATCTAGAACCTAAAGAACAACAACTACCAGACTTTGACGCAAACGACACAGTGGATAATTTCGCTATCGATCAAGACTCGAACATTTACGAAAATAACTCCTTCGTTGGGTCTTCCACCCCCAAGTCCATGGCTAAGCATTTATCTAGTAACAGTTTTAAGGAGAAATTACTTCCCCTTGAACCTGATTCCCAGTACGTACCAGTTTACGATCACAATGCAATACTCAAATCCCCGGTTAAGCAGTCTTCCAAGACCAATGACAATACTCATACGTTAAGTTTAGATAATCAAACGCTGGATAATGCACAGAAAGACGGAGACGATAATGACGAAAAATCCTTCGAATATACAGACGAGGATTTGGAAGAGGCCCTGCAAGCAGACCTTAACGAAGAAGTTGAAAACAATGGAAGTATGGACTTGCAACTGATAGACGATGCGTGCAACGAAAATCAATCATTTTACATGCCGATGACTCCAAAGAAACCGGTTTTGAACACATCAGATTCCTCGGAACTTAAGCTAACGGCAATGGATATTCTTAATTCAATTCAAAAAGGTTCTACCGACGCAAACGTTCAAGATGAGAACACATACATCGAAATGACCAACGGTCAAAGTGGAAAGTGTGTATTTGGGGACGACCTCAGATCGACATACGAAATGATTATGGTGCAGAACAGTCCTCCGAAGCCCGATCAAGAACCACTCTATATGGAGCTTTCCCAGTTGAGCAGTAACAGCTTGGAGAAGAAGGAAAAACCCGAACTACCAAGCGGAAATCGAAAGCCAACGTCTGAATCCAACACCAGTACACTGAAAAAGAAACAAAACGACCGCAATACCTTGACCAAAAAGCATAACAAACGAAACGACCTCCCGGATATTCTGAAATCGAACAATAGCTACCTGAAAGATGACGACAGCTCGGATGCAGATGACGAATCTGCGAAAGATCTGGACAACATCGCTCGATCGCGGTTCAGTTTATCGGATACCTTTCGACCGGCGTCCTACTATCTGGGAGCAAGCAGCAGCACTCCCTTGGGGGACTGCATGGATAGCTCGGACAGTGAGATTGTGTCGCCGCCTCCGATTCCGACTACGGCTCTGCCGTTGGATGAGCACAATAGTGATGAAATGTTTCTTTCCGAAAATTATGACACTGTTAAACGACGAGACAAATCAGTTGGTTCAAAATCGAACTCTCGCTGTTCGCTACTGAATACTTCCGATCACCGTCAACCGAGTCAAACGAGCCTTGCCGGGTCGATCGATAACAAGTCACAGTCCGGGAAGCAACATTACGAGTCCAATAGATCTAGCCTACAGAGTAACCTATATCTGGGATCCTGTTATACCATGGACGCTCGGTATGACAATAGCTCGAACACATCGTCCGAATACGACCTGTACAAACGGTTGCGAACTGAAATTCCCGCAGATGATTTAAGTCGTCGGACTTCGACATCATTATCGGAAACGGAATCGATTGAACTGCGCAGAAGTAGCTCGAAAATGGACATTCATACTCGGAACAAACGCCGACCGATTTCGGAAGATTCTTTGAATGAAATTCAAGCGTTGGGAAACTTTACTCTGGACGAAACTGTTTCAAACGCCAGTTTTGATCAATATCTAGGTAATTTGGAAAACGTGTATGTTAATTCGGAGAAGACCAGCACCAGTAGGATGAGCTGGATCAATGACAGTTTGACGAATCTACCAACGATGGATGGTTTCAAGAATGGTCATGACAATAATATCTATTATGAAAACGTAGAAATACAGCCACGCGCAAAATCGAATGTAGGTAATCGTACGGATGATGAAGTGAAAGCATTCTACGACTCGTTGGAGGATGTAGCGTCGCACGAAAAAGTGACCTTGTCACCATTGAAGGAGAAGAATCTGTCCATTCACGATGCGCGCTGCGAATCGGAAGATCTTATGGCCGCTGGTAGAAGTAATTTGAACATAGAGATAGTGGATTCGGTAACAACGATGTCCTCCATGGATCTTGATCAGAGAAGTTCGTGCACGGTGTTCGACTTGACACAAACTACCACTCCGGCGCACAGTCGTGGCAATAGTAACCTATCGGATTCGGCTCCGTATTACTACTCGGATCTTCACAGCCGGGATTCGTCCCTTTCGGATATAAGTAAGCTAACGGATTTAGGTAGAATCAAATATCCACTGAAACTGAACAACCAACGAGATGTCGGTGTCAAAAAAACGGGTATCTCCCACATCCACAACCCAATCAGCCACGTCAAGGCAGCTAACATACTAACGGCTGCCGAAAAAGATCACGAAATCGATCAACGAAACATATACGAATCGGATCGTATGATAGACAAAAACGTAAATAAGATGCTGGAAGTGTCTCTTTCGTCCAACAGTAAGAACTACTATAGCAATAAGCTGATCAACAATAAGCCTAGTCAGCTTGAGGAACCGCGAATTAGTGGTGGAGAAATCTGTTCTTCTACGTCAATCCTAGCATCGATATTGAAATCAAGTAATAGCGCAACTAGCAATCAGGTATTGGCAGCTTTAAGCAATCAGAATCCGGCATCGAAAAGTAGTTTGAATATTGCAACAGACATGTCTGCCAACGGGGATCAGCTGTGGGAGGAGGACAGTTTGTGGCGCGATAATCTACGAAGAGCTTCCCACATGCATGCCAAGTCAATGGAGAGCCTCGATCATCTTGGTGCCGGATCATCGATGCAGTCAAAAATATCTACGTTGAATAGGAAACATTTGCAACGCCAAGCGGGGAAGGCAATTACACGGGATGTCACCTACGTAAATGATGAACTGCTGACCAAAACTCAATTGATGAAGAAGCAACACAAATCTCAAGGTTCTAGCGATGACAATGACGTTTACGTACAGCTAGCCAACAATACTAACGCTACAGACTCTGCGACTTCGGATACGCATTCAGACATGTATGAAGTGCTTAGAGACGAGACAAAGTATGACATTGATAGGGAGAACATTCGACAGTGGGACCTGATGTCCAGTGGACTAGTAAACAGTACGAACAAAAGTCTCGAATCAGAAACGAGGGACCTTTATCGCAGTCAGTCGAATAAAGAGAAGACCAATAGTAGAGAGGGTACGTTGAGGAAGAAGAAAAGTTCTTTGGGTTTGGATGGATCGTTTCAGGCTGCGAAGGGTACGGTCGCTAGCACATCTAAAGCAAGCTCGCTAGTGGGTCCTACTGGTAGTAACATTGAAACTGCTAGTTCCACAACGGTCGATAGCAATGATTATACGCCAAGTCCCGGGTCCAGCCATGTCTTTGCAACGTCGTCGGATGCACATGTTCACAAAAAGCACAGTAACACAACACACTAACGACAATCAATCAAATAACGACGAAACGCACAGTTTGTTAAGCGATAGATTTCTAAGAAGTATCTCATAAGCATTCCATTAATTCGGTAAGGTCAACAGTATGTATTTATAATTTCTTTGTACATTAATAAAGCAAGGCCAAATTTTCATGCAAGCAATTGCCAATCAGTGAAAAGTTATATGCGATGATTAAAGGAAATTATGATAGATTAACCTCACAAGAGTGATATGTTATTCAATAAATTTAAAATGATTTCATATACACAATGGAAGAATTGTAAATATACAAGACATACAACAGATATGGAATACCGTGTTACTCTTCTCAATTCAGACCACTGAACAACTCACAAAAGCATTCGACGACAAACCCCGCGTGTTTAAACGAGAGACTTTTCTTAATACTTCCAGCTTCCATTTCAGTTCGCAACGTGAAAAACATTCCAAAGGTGCCACTGACGGTGAAACCGGATCCCTCGGACTACCGACTGGATCCACAATTTCGGGGATATTACGACCCAGCGCAGACCGAGTACTACTACCAGCAAGAGCAGGAGAGCTACATCCGACCTGATATCAGCTTTGAATCTACCCACGATCTGTACACGCAAGCCCAGTTGCAACGGGCCCAGGAGATCAATCTTCAACAGCACTATCAACTTCAGGACATCGATCGTAGCCTGGCCGCACTCAGTAACCAGGAATCACCAGAGGAGAAATGGCCTATGGCCAACAAACATATCTTTACCTCTCGTGAACAACTGACTCCAAGTCATGACAAGTCCGAATTAAGAGTAAGTTATCCGGTATGAGATCCCACCATTCCACCCCAAGTTCACTACAAAATCTACACTGAACCTCCATTTGTTATCCCCAACACTGAATGAACCGTGTTTTTCACAGACCTTGGAAATGTCCGCCGGGGATTTACTGAATCGTACTCACGAAGAACTAGTCTTGCTGTTGATACAGTTGCGACGTCAGAACAGCAATACAGCACGCTCAATCGAGCAGTGTTGCACAAACATTCACGATAATCAGGTTACTGTGAACTTTTCGATTATTAATTGTGCAAAAGCTTACTTGGTGCAAGGCGTTTGACTCTAACCGTGTAGTTGGAAACGTTCTTAGGGACAACCCAAAATTATACTAACCCCCCACAGTCCACAATCACATACCCACACATACGTTGTTGTACAGGTCAAAATTGGTGGCGGACCTAACCCGTTTCTTGGATTTCCATCCTACTTTTGGCGATACTCACAAAACCTCAAAATGAATACACAAGCAGCGAGATTGACCGTAGCGTTCCAACGTCCGTAGCCTAAATGACTTCTTGCTTTCAGAATTCGATACGTACATCTGACGGACCAACGCGAGCAGAGAATCTGGCCCGACTGGAGGCGCTGAAGAAACAGTTGGCGGAGCTGGAGAAGCAGTACGAGAAGGAAAAACCACTGATCAACTTGGTAGACAATATGGTAAAGCTGGGAACGTTGTATCGTGGTGTTCCGGGTAAGCAGAAGACCCACACCTCGGAGTCGGCTACGCTCGATCGGTTAGAGTTCAACCAACGGATTCAGGAACGACGTCTGCTCCAGGAAGAACAACGGCAGTGGGATCGTCTCAGTCCTAACCATTCGGAATTGCAGGTTGGTCACACTGTGTAACGGTAATTTTGACTTTGCTAACCCTTTATGTTTGTGTTCAGTCCAAGGTGCAACAGCTCTATCAGATCGATCAACTGCTGCAGGAAGAATCCGGTACCCTGCAAAGTTTACAACGTGACAAGGAAGATCTGGAACGGGCTTTGTGTGGATTGAAAGCCAAGATAATGAAGGGTGATGCACCGCCAATGGCCGTGGAAGCTGCCAGACAACAACAGCATACACTGGAACGTGAACTTTCGCGGGTGCATCTTCTGCTGGCAGAAAACTCAAAGGTTCGTTGCCTAGCGATACATTGTAGTGCATGAATAAATGTGACTACTTTTTTTTTAGAAATTGGAGAAAACCGTTGCTGACAATGCTCGCTTGGAACAGGAGCTACTCGTACTACGACAGAAGTTGCAAGCCTCACGTGATACGCAGGGACCCCAAGGACATGTTACACCGGGCCAAGAGGGTCAGTACGTAGGAACGGCAAGTGCCGTACTGGAGTCAGAGTTGCGACGAGTGCAGCTACTAGTTGGCGATATGCAACGCCAACGTCAGGAACTCAGTCAAGCCGTACGACAGCTGACCGATAATTCGGATACGCTGTACAAGCAGATTAACAACAAAAATGGTGAGAATCGATCTCATATCAAGAAACGATCGCACAGTACATCGTGGGTAGAGACCGATCTTGATTCGATGGTTAGCAGGGACCATGGGGGTAGAAGTGAAAGTAACTCATCGTTGAACATGCTCGATAGGTCTTCGTCGTCGTTGCTCGGAAGGATTGAAAACGATCGGTCGGAAGGTTTCGAGTCATGCAGTGTGGATAGCGATGAGCTGTTGGAAGATTCCAGTGGAAATCCTTTCGCTTATCATGACAAGCAGGAAATTAAAACCGTTCGGATAGTGAAGCGAGAATCTGAGCGACGACATCGAGATCGAGAGAAAGATCGTAGCAATACTTCGACGCACAGCCTCGACCAGGTACTGGAAGAGGAAGCTCAGATCTTTGAAGATTACACAAACTATCACCGATCGAAGTCGTTACCCCGGGGCTACGAAACGCACGAAGCGTTCGTGCAAAATCAAGATGTACAATCGTATGCGAGCAACCTGAAGGATTACTACAGCATGACTGCGAATGGTAACAATAGTTATCCGGTTTCGATGATAGATCGTAAGGCAGATTTGTACTCCGGTTGTGATCGTCAAACGATTTCGGCTTCGGCGAATAAAGCAACCAATTTTGCACTGGTGAACCCAGAACTACCTGGACTGCGTAACAAAACGGAGTCGATACAGAGCCTAACGAATTCTGAGCAAAGTCCCGTATTCCAAAGCGAAGCCGCAAAGCAGATAATTCACGAAATGGGTGGCAATGGCACGGAATCAAAGAGTCAGCAAAAGGCGGCAAACGGTGCCGGTAATGGTCACAGTTCGTTAGTCGTAGAACGACAGAAGGATAAGGCGGAACATATGGCTCAGCAGAACAAACACCGCCGATCGGTTCCAAAGGAGAAACGTCGTCATCACACAGCGCCACATCACGTTACCGCTAAGCAGCTGGAGATTTTGCAAAGTGAGAACGATATGAATAAGAATGTGAGTAGAGTTTACTTTTGATTGAACGAAAATGTAGATTATGGGTGATATTTGTTGCAGAACATCAACTGGAGAGCTCGAGATGATGTTGATTTGGAGGTTACCATAAGGCCACGGTCGAACGCTCCGGATGTTGTACGATCGGCAATCGGGCCTCGAGAAAAGATTTCCGAACACACTATTGATAAGCTACTGGCAGCCCCGAGCAAGATTCTGATACCTGAGCGCTACGTCCCGGAGCAGGCACCAGAACTGTCCCCGGAGGAGAAACGGCGGCGGCAGGAGAAAGTGGAAGCCATTAAAAAGATGCTTTCCGAGACGCCAATCGCTGGAAATGTGAGTATCCAAAATCGTGAACCATAAACACGTCGCCGGTCATGCATTGAATGGTGTTTTGTTTGTCATTTGTCGGTATGTAGGACACCTCTCCGAACCAGCCAGCCAATGCGGAGAAGCGACAACGGGAGCACCTGCTGCAGTTGAATCAGATTCTGGCGCAGCAGGTCATGCAGATGAGCAAAATTGTGGCAGGTAGGTGCAGCGATCCGTGAAGGTTTCTTGCACGCACCCATATAATCGTTCTGTTGTTATATCTCGCTTATCCAATTGTCTCATTCAACAGTTCGGTTTGCACTTTTGTTTTGTGGATTTCAATAAAACTTGAAATGTTTGTTTTGTTATGGTTTCCTTTTCATTTTTATTATTTTTGTTTGTTTTTTTTTTCTCTCATCCATTAGGTAATCCGTACCATGCCACTAATATACAAAAGTAGTGCTAGCTACCGCACTGTTGTTTCGTTTTGTTTATATTATTTATTGAATGCGGCATTTCTGAGTTCGAGCAGCTTCTAGTTTGAGTTTTTTAGTTTTGAGACTTGCTAACTATCTTTAACTACTACTACTACTGTCACCTAAATGTGTATCATTCATGACTATCAACCGATTCGAATGTTTCCCAATGCTTGACCATTCAACAACACCACCACCACCAACAACAACAACAACAACAACATCGATACTACCGCCCGAACAATTCAGACGATATTCCGCAGGAACAAAATGCAGGTTTGTATTGCAAATGAGACATGAGAAACTTGTTAATAATATATAGCTGAGGGTGGTAACGCAGCGGCATCCAGGATTCAAACGTCAACCGTGCGAGTCTTGGGTGACCCCACACATACACACCGAATTCGACACTCGAATCCAAAGTGTAATCATCCATCGATATGATTTTCTTTTCTAAATATTTTATGATTTGCATGCTGTTTCTCATATTCTTTCGAAAGAGTTATTTACAAAAGGATTTCCTCTTTGAATTTCGAGCGCAACTATTCGACTGAATTTTGATCGAGATCCCTCCTCCTTCCCTCCTTTTGCAATCCATAAATCGAACAGAAAACTCCACGGCTGTGCTGCCATCGAGCATTTGCAAGCTAAAGAAGGCACGTTTGTTGAGAACTGGCAGTAATGGAAGCAGTCGCAAAAGTAGCCACGACAACGAGGAGGACGAGGACGAAAACTATCGCAGCGAAATGGAGGATTCGGACAATACGGAATCACCGCCCGAGCCGTTGCCTCTGTATCAGCAGCGTGAAAACTATTTCACATAAATGAAAAAAAAAATAAAGGATTTCAACGCTAAAATTGCTTCCAGATGTACAAGTTATCATCCAATACAGATTTATAATCGTTGTTGATATGTTTGCTAGAAAGATGTTCGATAACAGACAACCAAAAAATGAGCAAAATGTGGAACAATTGAATTGATTTATCCGTCCATCATCGGTTGGCAACACTGCTTACAGAGACAGACAAAGTACTCGGCTTCAGAACAAAAAACGGAACACTCACACACACACGCATACATAACACTACAGCATACTCACGCATATCAGTCGAAACCAAGAGAACAAAAGATAAATAGAACCGTATTTAGTTGCATCGCAATAGAATCAACAATTGATAACATGCTAATTTACAACTACATGCGATTTTAATTTATATAGTTCAACGCAGCGTCTAATAATATCTCTAACTTTAGCCCTACCGAAGAGAATGCACATTTGTAAAAAGAAAACTACGTTTTTAGCTAAATCAAGCGAAGCGGATATTGAGGGAATAAAATAACGTTTTAAAACAAAAAAATCAATCGGTTGCAAAAGACAGTGCAGTGACGTGCAACAAATTCAATAATGGAACGTCAATTACGGTACTTACACACGTAAACATTAAACGAAGAGAACAAATAATCACATACACAGACACAAATACCAACATGTTTTAATGGAATTACGTACTACTATAACTTACAAACGCATGTTATTGACCTTATAGAATAGGTCCACCATGGAAAGAGGAACGGAACAAGAACCATAACAATATTATAATCAATCATTACGAATAATGGAGTTTACCACTATTGCACGGGCGCTTGCAGCGAGGTACGTGTGGTTGTTTAGTTGAAAAATTATCGAATGAGATCCTAAGTTTCTGTTGGTATTGAATTTTGTTTCCAGCTGACATTCGATAGCATTCAAAGCAGCATTAATCTATGATTACAGACAAACACACGGACCTTGAAAGATAAATTCCTATGCAAAACCGTGTTGAAAATTATATTTGTCAATTTTAAGCAATTTGAAAACGAAAACAAAGAATACACCTTGCTCAATTCGAAAAGTACTAAAACAAAATTGAATAAACGTACCGCAAACATGACAAAATATACACATAAACCAAAATAGCAAACTTAGACTAAACCTAATCGCATTTATTCTAAACAATTATGGACCCCAAACCTGACCCAATATCATCATTGCATTCGTAGCAGTATTAAGTTGTTAGTTGTGGAAGCATCAATCAACCCCTAGTAGCACCCAACAATCAATGTGAAGAAATCGTATCGCTCGCAGTTGCAGAGCTTATCGCTGGATGGAAAGAAGAAGAAAAACTATATTAAGCTAAAACAACCAAAACAGGGCCTAACTTGGTAGCACCTGAGCGGAAGCGTACGAGGGCAACGATCCTTATAAGTGAAAAAAAATAAATACCAAGAACAATATGAAGTTGCATTTACAGGGTTCTTTTACACAAACAAGACTTTTGATAGCTAAATTACGATAAATTAGAAGCCTCGGGTTTCTCTCAGTACTGTCGCATAGCATGATAACAAACACACATCAAGTACCATTGCAAAACCTAACCTAACCTTAATTGGCAGAAGTTGCTAAATCGGCTTATCGTGCGACACACACGCATACAAACACAAAGACATATGCCCCCATACTCGTGAAAGAAGGATCGAAATCTATGCATATCACATACCCAAAAAACAATTCTCAGCGTGTCGTTGAATTATGTTTACTAAATTTTGTTCAATTCTGCACGGAAGTAGCAGGTTATTTACCCATATAATTTTATTTGCGCCTATTTTTTTTTTGTTTGTTATTGAACCCCATTGGCCATACGCGAAAACACGAAACACAATAAAAGAAAACTATTGCCTCGTTTTAAGATAATCACAAACTTATATGGTTCGTTCGAAATAATTTCATATAAAATTTAATTTTGTTTTGCTTTGAGTGAGTTGAAAATGCGCGAGATCGATAGGAATATGCGCGGTGATCACGTTGATCGTGATCGCGTGATCTTTCCTCGGGATTCCCCCCCTCCCGTCTCCGCGCGAACCTGTACATTACAAGAACAACAATTTGCCATACCTACCAATACGGAGCGTTGGATAAGAGGAGATAGGGAACGTGAAGATTATTTTATTTCGTTTAAGGTGCTATAATTTGGATCATTGTATTTTTTTTGTCGTTTTTAAAAGATTATCGGTTTAATGATAGACATTAGCGAATCAATGTAGCATAAGTGCATCAGCAAGGAGAAAATCATTCCGAACGTCGTTACGCGGAGTTTACCGTTGAATAATGTTTATATGCATACAAGAGCAAAGTATAAAGTTAGTATTACGCAAGCAACGCTGTTAAACGGAAGTAATCGCTAAGCTACCAGAAGAAGGGAAGACACAAATCTAAAAGCTAACAGGGCAACAGAGCATAGACCTCGTTTTAGTTTAATTTATATGCAACCAAATAAGCTATAAGTTACAGATCAGCGCTCACCTTCTTCATATTCTCAGCTAAAGCATGAAATATGGGAAATAAAAACAAAATCATCAAACATACAATACCTTTTGAATTAGAAACACATAGTTACTACCCGTTTCAAGAAACAAAACAAAAACTATACATGCAGTACGGCGAGCATAAGAACAGAAGGAAACCTACACCAGTGATGCAGTTTTAATCCCGCGTTCATTGATATATAGTGGAAAGCGTTTTAGATAATGACCACACGAAACCTATAAACAAATAAATTACATACTACTTCAGTGATCGTTATCCACGCGGTGCTTGCGATTGTGTGCGCACTGTTTCTTGTTTTCTGGTGAGAAATATCCTACCTTCCCCCATGGCTCTTTCATTGTTGTAGAAATCAAGTCAAGTCATATGACGACGCGAGCGCGGCTATAATGTGAGATCACTACGAAGACGATGATGACCGATGACAAGAGAAGACAACAACAACAACAACCGGTGAGAATAATGCACGTTGTTAATACTTTGAATGGTAAATGTCTACCCAGGGCCGCCGCATAGGCATTTAATTGTGCGAAATTGTAAGTAAGCGGAAAGGAACAAGCTATAATCTACGCTGGTGAGCACTTAGTGTGGTGGCAGTTGATGATGAGAAATTTTGACTCGGTTTAGTATCTCAGTGAACGAGACCAGTCGTTTCGGCAAAGATTGAAAAAGTTGAAAAGTTTTTCCCACAAAATTTTGTTACTCCTATAATTGAGTGTGGGAAAACTAATTAATGACATGGATTATGAAAAGCGCATGCTTTGGATGATTTCGAGGCTTTTTGAAACATTTCCATCAATTTCTGCTTTGTAAAGCTTCTATAATTTTCAAAATACATGGGCTGCGATGACCTGGCGGATTTCAACATTTTTTTAACAGCCCCTTCGAAATTTGTGCCTGAGCAAAGAATGAAAACAAAGTTTGATACTTTGATATAAACGATCATGATAACAAACACAACCGTGTGGTCGAGTTAACACTAATCATAACAAAAATTAGATCTAAACGGTATATGAAGGTTACTAACACTTCGAACACGATGCCTCCGGTAAAATGTGTAACGGCAAATTGCTCAGCAAGTTATTGATAGACTATAAATCTATTGTGTGTAGTTTTAAATGACGCCAATAGCGTTGAAATTCGTCAATAAATGGCTGAGCTATGCTTTTTCAAAGATTGCAAGTTTGCCGTTATACATTTTATCGGAGGCATCGTGTTCGGAATGTTAAAAAGAAACAAATTTAGCTTTGAAATCAATGTATTGTGATATTGTTATTTTTTGTTAATTTTAAACAAAATAAGTAATCAATATGTTTTTATCACTATGGCAGAAAAAAAAGATATAACAAAATTTGTTATTCCCCCTTATTCTGCGAGTCACGTGACTCTCTGTCACCGGTGAGGTGAGAATTGTCACCTCGTGTGAGGTGACTCTCCATTTGATTTGCACGGAGAGTCACCTCACACGAGGTGACAATTGTCACCTCACCGGTGACAGAGAGTCACGTGACTCGCAGAATAAGGGGGATTATTTTAAAATTTGTAGTAAACCGCGATATTAAATTTTGGATGCCAAATTTATTAATCGGAGGCATTCAATTCTCAAGCAGTTTAACAATGAAAATAATTGTAATATAACTCATCGTTCTTATTTTATATTGTTCATGCACAAAGCACCATGAATCCTGCTTTATATCTTTATAAACAGACTTGTGAAAACACCCACCAGTACCAACAATCAATACGAAACTAACGATTTTAAATTGGCTCACCACTTTAGTAGCCTATTGGTCCCAAGCAAACGATTAACGTACCCTATTCTAGTTGAAATTCTATTACTACACTATGTTTGTTTTGATTCGCTATGAAAGTTTGACAGATAACATCAGGGGTGTGTGGATTCATGCAGAACATGCAGGGGTGAGTGAAATAGCTTGGGACTGCTTGGGACCGTTGTTCTGGTACTGAGTGAGCCAAAAATAATAATGATTTTCTTCGGGACCCAGTGGTCTTAGAGTTACCTCTATGCCAGTACCATAGAGGTAACTCTAAGACCAGAAGGTCCCGAAGAAACGAGCTCAACTTTTTGGCTCAGCTCTGGTACTATCTTCGGTCCCAAGCTAATCGATGCACCCCTCGAAACATGAGAAAATCCACGAACCCCTCATTTTATCTGTCAAACTTTGATAGCGAATCAAAACAAACAAAGTGCAGTACTGGAAGTTATACTAGAATGGGGTACGTTAATCGATTTGCTTGGCACCAATAGGCTAGTCAAGTAGTGAACCAATTTAAAATCGTTAGTTTCATATTGTTTGTTGCTGCTACTGTACATTATGTTTAAGCTCCAACCATGTAGCATTTTTTTTATTGCGTTTATTTATAAGGCTCCCTCGCCTATTAGGCATTGCTTGGGTCGATGGTCATTATTTACAATTAGATCCCTTCCCGCTTTTATTTTTCAAATAAAACGTATTATCCCCTATTTTTTTTTTTAATTAATTACTTTATTTGTACAGGCTCAATCGAATAAACTTTACAGAGCCGAGTTATCATTTTCGTTATACATTATTGATGTCTTATATTTAAAGTTAAAGGAGCTGGACCGGATACTCGCGGTTGTCTCGAGGTTAGTGGAGATTTACAATTTTTTTGGATGGGAAAAGGGAGAAGGAGGTTTGAAATGTGGTTTACGATACAAACGTTTTATTAAAGGGTGTCCACGATGAAATTGCCACACACAAAATTGATTCTCAAAATTCGAGTTTTCATCCGATTGCCATCAAATTTTCAGGGATTGAGAAATAACTATTAAACTTCATTTTACCATTTTACTCGTATTTTATTTACAGTCCATACGCAAATGCCCGCACCTTGGCCTTAACCCCGGCCATAAGATTCTGCACAACCTGTGAATCAACCGTTTTTCTTCAGCTCCTCGACTGTCTTCACTACCTTAGGTCGTTTAAGAAGGTGCTGCTTCATAATCGCCCAGTACTTCTCGATGGGGCGGAGCTCCGGAGTGTTGGGAGGGTTGAACATTTTCGGCACGAAATTGACCTTATTGTCCGCATACCACTTCAGCACGTCCTTGGAGTAGTGGCATGAGGCCAAATCCGGCCAGAAGATTGTTGGGACGTTGTGGGCCTTCAGGAGAGGAAGCAGCCGCTTCTGGAGGCACTCTTTTATGTACACCTGTCCGTTCAACGTGTCCTGGGTCACGAAAGGTGCACTCCGCTTCCCGCACGTGCAGATGGCTTGCCAAACCAGGAATTTCTTCGCAAATTTGGACATCTTCTGAGTGCGGACATCCTCCGGAACGCTAAACTTATCCTTGGCCGTGAAAAACAGGTTGCCGGGGATCTGTTTGAAGTCGGCCTTCACATATGTTTCGTCGTCCATGATGCAGCATTCAACTTTCGTCAGCATGTTGAGGTACAACTTCCTGGCACGGGTTTTGGCGGACTTGTTCTGCTTCTCGTCGCGATTAGGGGCTTTTTGTACCTTGAACGTTCGAAGCCCAGCCTTAGTTTTGGCCTTCTGGAAAAAACTTCGGCTTAGGTGCAGCTTCTTAGCCATATCCCTAACGGAGGCGTTCGGATTTCGGTTGAAGGCCCCAACTACGCGGTTGTGATTTTTGGTGTTGTACGGAATACTTTTTCCTTCACTTCTGGGCTTCCGATCGGTGGCCAACCGTTCGTCGAACCGCTTAATCACTCGCGACACCGTGGAATTCGCGATTCCCAACGTTTTAGCGATGGAACGATGCGAGAGATCCTTGTTCTCGTGATGAATGCGCAAGATTTTATCACGCACGAGCTGTTCTTTCGACTCCATTTCCGCGAGTTTTGATCACAGGACTTTAAAACTTGCAGGATGTAAATAATGCACTATGAACTAAATCCACCCAAATTTTCATTAAATTCTACCTAACGGTTGAAAAGTTAGAGCAATTTCATAGTGTGGCAATTTCATCGTGGACACCCTTTAATCCTAAAACATGAACTTATTTCTATTCATCTTGAAAACAATCATAAAAAATCCACATGTACAAAATACAAACTAAACACAAGGTTAATCAAACTTACAATCTAAGGTTAATATTCTTAAAGTAAACATATATGAGTTTCATAAACTCCAGATCACGTCTAGCCAAAATATCCCGAACTGGAACATTAGGTTGTCCACCTCGAGCCCGAAGGGAATCGTACAGCTCAGATCTGACTCCACGATGCTCAGCACAAATAATATGATCGGCGTCCTGGTAACCTTGTCCACATTCACAGAGATTGCTGTCTCCCAGCCCAACACGAAACAAGTGAGCGTTTAACGAATAGTGATTGGACATGAGGCGAGACATCATACGAATGAAGTCTCGACCCACATCCAACCCCTTGAACCAAGGACTCTTCGACACCTTAGGGATGATCGAATATAGGCATCGTCCCAAACTCCCTTCACTCCACTTATTCTGCCAGCTGACGAGTGACTGTTGACGATAAATGAAGAAAAATTAATCGTAGGCGATTTGTCGATCGTAAATATCGCCTTCTATAGCGCCCACCTTAGCAAGTGAGTCCGCCATCTCATTTCCTGGAATCGAGCAATGAGATGGGACCCATGCAAAGGTGATGACAAAAGATCTTAAAGATAAAGCACTTAAAAGCTCTCGTATTTTCATGAGAAAATACGAGGAGTGCTTTACCGGCCTCATGGAGCGAATAGCCTCGACAGAACTGAGACTATCCGTAAAAATAAAATAATGATCTGGTGCTTCTTGATTCCAAATTCGTCCTACGAGTTTCAATTCCGTGAAACATTCAGAGAAACATTAGCCAACAGCCGTGATGAGCTCGGAGAAGCTTTAAAATCAGAGGAAACCGTGATCTTCCGTCGGATAACTAAATGGCGTAAGGCAATCGTGAGTTAGTACAATAAATATTATTTGTTTGAAATTATTTTTTTTTGTGAATTCTACACAGTTCCTGCTGCACGTGCAGGAGGAGAACGTGTAGGAGGAATACTTGCAGGAGGATGACGTGCAGGAGGAGGACGCGCAGGAACAGGACGTAGAGACTAAAGGCGGCGATGTATACGCTAGACCCTCCGAGGCACCTTCGACCTCGCCTTCGACAGACATCGGAGGACTCAAACCAAAAACGCCTTCACGCGGGAATGTACAATCCACTGACGTCAGTGACGGTGTAAAATCTTCAGGAAAATAAATAATTTACCAGAGTCTGCATTGTTATTATTTT